TCTCATTCAAAATTAACACTAAAATTGTATATAGTCATATGAATGTGCTTTATAAATTATTATTTCTTCTCTTATTTTATCGATATGAGACTTATTTGTATCCCAACAATTAGTTATAATGACTTTTGATTTTATCCTTTAAGTTTGTTTATGGAACTAAATAATTGTTATCATGTTCCATCCATTAAAAAGCATTATTTATTGGGCCAAGAAATACAAGAACTTTTAGGAAAGAGGAGTGTTAGTAACATGTTCCACCTAACACACTTGCTCTCATTACTCTCATTGAGACCCACCCAATTTTGTGGTTTCAATGAATTTCAAATTATAAAAGAGAGTGTGTTTTAAAGAGTGTGTTAGGGAGTATGTTACTAACATTTTTCTTTAGAAAAAAATGAAGCGTTAGAAGCTCAAAAATGAGTTCTAAAGAGCCAAAAGCTAATAATAACCAATAATACTTTATTATTAAAGTATATATACATCCTCAATGATTCAATCTATATACATCACTCACATAATGATTGTTAAGAACAAAAAAGAATTTTTTAATTTTACGTATAAAGATAAGAGAACACAAATAAGATAACACTATGAAGAAATATAAAATCATAAAAAATTTATTTAACTTTAAGGATGAAACTTGGAAGACACTTCTTCATATGACTCCTTCTACAAATTGAGTGATTATTTTAATTTATCAACCAATCATCATAATAAATTTTAATGAAGAAATAAATACTTAAAGTAAATTCAATATATTTCAATTTTAAACAATATCTTTAAAAAAAATATCTTTTAAAATATCAACAATATCTTATAAATTTGAATTTAGAAATTTAAATTATCTTTCCACCAATAATATATCAATAAATAAATTACATTATCATAGTCCTGATTGTCGTAAGATAAATAAGGCGATAGCCTTAGGCCCCAAATTTTAATTCTTTTTACATATATTTTTAATTTGTTTTCTTAAATAATATATTTATTATGTTATCCATAATTAATATATTAGTAATGTTATATAATATAAATATATATATATACATATATATATATATATATATATGCATAGTTATTATTATTATAAATCATTTGAAATTTTTATTACTCATTTAACATGTGATAGAAAAAATTAGTTTATATTTGTTTTAACTTCAAACAAAAAAAATTCATTAAAATGAAATACAGATTAACTTTTATTAAAATAGTTTAAAATATAAAATAAATTTTTTAAGGAAAATGATAATGATAAGCGTACATATTTAATTAAAGATTAATTCTTTTTATTTTGGATTCTTTTGTATACATATCAAATTAATTTATTTTTTATTCACAACTCATTTAAAAAAATATATATAAAATTACGTTAAAAAATTATTTGAATCCCGAAAATTAATAACTTTAAAGGAGAATGATATGAGACAAAAAAAATTGTATTAGTTTTAGAAAAAATTTAAGCTTTAATGAGTAATAATTTGATATCAGTGATTTTTTTTACACCATTGATATTAGTGATCTTAAAATTTTCCTAAATTGAAGGTATTAAAAATTGATAAATTGTTAAACTATATTTCTTTATAAATTGTTGTCATGCTTATAAAATATTATTATTGATAATTATAATTGTTGGTATAATCAAATAAACGATTTTAAAATTAATTTTTTTTAATATTTTATTTAGTATCAACTATATATATTACGAGATAATAATTGAAAATTTTGAAATAACTTAATTAATAAATTTAATTTAAATAATTTTACAGTTTTAAAAGTTAGAAGAGTAAGATATAAATAAATAATTTATGTTAAAGTAAAGGTCAAATTTAAAATTCACTAGACCTGGTATTTCTTGACACGTGAATTATATTTGCATTTATTGCATCAGTCAACACAATTACTAATGGAATAAAAATATTCTTGTTATCTTGCATTTTAATCAATTTGGTGCACGTAAGCATTTGACTCTTTGAGTATATATACACAAATGTTCTCAAAGAACAAAGTCTTTCACAACAAGATGAACACCTCAAGGTATTCAATGGGAAAACTAGCATTCTTATTAGTTTTTCTCATCATAGCTTCAGGTTAGAAATCATGTTTTATTTTCATTCCCTCTCTCATCACTCAACTCAAATGAATCATTTTCTTGTATACTACTACATTTCGATTTTTTTTTTCTCAAAACAAATCTTTCACATGTTACATACATATATATGAAATTTTGCTATCTGGGAATGCAGATTTGTGCATGGAATCAAATGCAAGAGGACCCATTGGGCGAACTTACTGTGACAGAGACTCAGATTGTCAATGCACAAATCCATCTTGTTGCAGATTAGTATGTATTGACCACATGTGTAGGTGTCAACCAACTTCCGACAATACTATTCTTAATGGAGCACCACCAAATTGAGTGTCATCTTGTGATCAATGTTGCATCTCTGTGTATTCAAACATTACATCATGGATGTGAATAAAAATTAAAGTTTAGGCATTACTTTTTCCTTTTTTATTTTGTTGATTGATGCTTAAAGTTGATTTTCTTTTAAAAAAAAAAAAAAAAAAATTTGAATGTTCTGCACAAACCGTATTAAAAAGATGCGGCAACATTCCCGAAAATTAAATAAAAAAACTTATAATTTAGGTTTTATAATTTATATTATATATTTTCTTGATCCTTGAATTTAAAATTTGTTATTAATTCTCAAAATATTAAAAAATATTATTTTAATCACTTTGTAAGAAAATGTGTCAAATATAAAATTTATTTATTATTAAATTAGATGCACAAAATTCTTCTATTAATATATTTATTAATAAAAAATATTATATTAAACTAATTTATATTATATAATTATCTCAATTACGGATGATAATGAGTAGAGTTGGTGGTAATCCCAATCACCCACCCTATTTAGTGCAGATATCTATAATTTTTTAATATATATATCTATACGTATATGTGAATATTTGATAAAAACAAAATTTTAAATAAAAAAGGTAAGAACTAAAATAAAAGTAAAAATAAATAATCTTAAAATACATATTTATATTAAAAATAATTCTATAATATATATTTGTACTAAAAATAAATAATTATGATACATATATTTAGTGTAAAAGTAAATTAAATTAAATTATTTTATATATAATTAAGTGTATGTTTAACATTTTTAAAGTGCAGGTACCGTGGATACTAATTATGTTATCACTTGTCTCTATTTCATTATTAAACGAGTATATATTTAATTATTCATTTAAAATTTATAGAAAATTAATCACTTATAATTATGTTATTAGTATTCTTGAGAGATTATTAAAATAGTATCTTTGAAATTACAAGGACTTAAAATATAAGTTTTAAATTTGAGAGAAAAAAATATTTAACTTAAATTTGAGAGAATAAAATAATATTTATTTTTATAATTTGGAGACTAAAAAATACAAATTTTAAATTTGGAAGACCAAAAAATATATACTTCAAATTTGGAGGACTAAAAATATAATTAAGCACATAATTACTATATTTTTAATTAGATATTAAATATATATATATATATTAAATATTTTTAACTCATTGTTATTATCTTTTAACATTAATATTAAATGTAATATTTACCAAATTCAATATGTAGTTGACTGAAACAATCCTGTTAAATATTGCATTAACTAATTATAATTTTTAATTAGGGAATATATTTAAAAAGTTTTTTCAACAAAAGTTATTATATATACTGGCGTAAAAAAGTACTCCATGAATAAGTAGTTAAAAAAGAGAGTGAATGATGAACAAGTTTTCGGTAGTTGTATGAGTGGTTTTAAAAAGCAAAAGAAGAAAGAACGAAAACTAAGTAAAAAAATTATGAAAACAGGAAAAGTAATTTCAGAGATAGTTATAGAGATAAAATTGTAAAAAAAATAATGTGTATGTAAAAAAGATATATTATCTTTAATAATATATATATATATATATATATATATATATATATATTTTATTTTCACATTTATATATACTTTTTTGTGTG